GGGGGACAGAACATGTGACAGAACAATAACAATACAATACAATGCAAAACATGAGGGGATCGAGGGCCCTGCTCTTTCGAGCTTACAATCTAGGAGGGAGTGGATGGTGGCACAGGAGGAGATAGCTGTGGGGGATGGAGTGGTAGGAAGAGTGGAGGAGGTCGGCAAGTTAGCAGGGGGTGGGGTAGGCTTCCCTGAAGAGATGGTGAGGAGAGTAGGTGATAATCTGATGGGTTGGGGCAGGGAGTTCCAGAGGATGGGTGACACCCTGGAGAAGTCCTGGAGGCGGGCATGGGAGGAGGAGACCAGGGAACTAGAGAGAAGGTCTTGTGAGGAGCGGAGTGTGCGTGCTGGGCGGTACTTGGATATTAGGTCAGTGATGTAGTACGGGGCAGTATGGTGGACAGCTTTGTACGTCAGTGTTAGGATTTTGAATTTGATCCGTTGCGCAATCGGAAGCCAGTGGAGGGATTGGCAGAGGGGGATGGCGGAAACGGAGCGGTTGGAAAGGTGAATGAGTCTGGCAGCTGTATTCAGGATCGACTGAAGCAGGGATAGCCAGCGGTGAGGCAGGCCAGTGAGGAGGGAGTTGCAGTAGTCGAGTCGTGATATGATGAGGGAGTGGATGAGCTGTTTAGTGGTTTCTGGGGTTAGGAACGTGCGTATTTTGGCGATGTTGCGGAGGTGGAGTCTGCACGAATTTGTTAGATTGGACTTGGGGCTGGAAGGATAGGTTCTATATCTGATCACTGCATTAGTGTCACTAGCGACATCAGTGTCAGTTAGTGATCCTTCCAGATAGTGTCAGCTAGGGCCAGTTTGCCCTCTGTTCTATCACAGGCCCACGCTTGGACGTTTATTCGTTTGGCCAGAGTATTTTCCATTGACATGCATAAATGCCCAAGTGCTAAACACTGCTAGCATTTATAATAGGCTTACCTGTAGGTAAAAATCACAAAGCGGATTTTATCACTGCTTTAACCTCCCTAGCAGTATGATTATTTCAGATTTTTGGTGCTAAAAACCGGTACCATTATTTTTCATGGACATTTTGGCGTTTTATATTGTAGGCCTGTAATTCTTAGGAATAACTCACTTAAATCTGTCCAAACCAGAGTCTAGTAGACATCTCGGGTAAAAAAAAATGCATTTATTGAATAAAAAGAAAAAAAAAATGTAAAAAACTTTCTATTTATGCTTTGGGCCTTCCCAATCATACACTGTAGTGCTTTGATTACTCTTAAGGACGAGCAGCCCAAATCAACTATTTACATGTGATATTTTTAATGTGCATTCTTCTTTATAACATCTCGGGTATGATAAAGTTTGAAACACAAAATCATAAATTATAATATAATAAATAACTATAAATAATAACAAATAATAATATAATAATACTTTTTATTCAATAAATTTTAGTAAATAACATAATCAAAAACACTGACTTTTTTTGGCCAAACAAGGATGCAATATTAGTAGTCATATTGCTTCAGTAAACGTCCCGGGTATGGAAAATTTTAAAACATGGTACAGGACAAAGTCCGACATCACAATCAGGACAATAGAACCGGGTTTCCTTTTTGATTTTCCTTGCAGCGTCGTCACGCTTAGAGCAGCAAACCACATACATCCTTGTGGGTGCAGACTTCTTTTCCGTTGGTGGAATGTGGTCCATAAAGTGATGACCAGTCAGGCGTTCTGGGTTCACAACGCCAGCAGCACAACGTCCAGATCTATTTACAGTCGTTGGTGTTTGGTGCTTGAGAAATATAAGTTCGACAACTTTCAAAACAAAGTCCGCATGAACCACAGGCTTGTCACACTTTTTTTTAGCAGAATGAATGCGTTCCACAAACATTGTTCAAGAAGATGCCTGAAGATTTTTTTGTAATTTTTCTTTGTTGTTTTCTCATCGCTGGATAAAATGTCATGGCCTGGTCAGATCTGTCCACACCTCCCATGATGTTGTTGTAATCCATCACGACTTGTGGTTTCATTAGGTCTTTTCCACCTTCTGTGTGTACCATGACAGTAGAGGTGTTGTGAATAGTACACATCTTTTTTGTCGCACCATCTCAGTGCCATCATTTTGCCTTTCTGCCAGGCAACTATTTCTCCTGCCTTGAGTTTTTTATTTCCAAAGTTTGGTGGCATGTCACGCCGGTTAGCCCCAACGGTCCCATATGCATCCGTCTTGTTGTGTAGAAGGAACTCATAGAGTTCTGGGGAAGTGTACAAATTGTCTGTGGTTACACAATAGCCCTGATTCAGCAATGGCTCAATCAAAGTAAGAACCGAAGCGGTTGCCATTCCATAATTACTGAATCGTTTGTTGAATTTGGTTCCTTTCCCAGTGTATAGGACCGAATTCCATATGTAACCAGTGCTTGATTCACATAGCATGAATGATTTTATGCCAAATTGTGCTTTCTGTGACGCCATATACTGTATGCAGCTGAGTCTTCCTTTGTAGGCCATTAGACTTTCGTCGATACTAACGTCTCTATCTGGTACATAGGTCTGCTGGAAGGTTTTCAGAATAATTTGATAAACCTCCCAAATCTTTTTGAGTTTTGGAGCTGGATGAGAAATTCTCATCAAATTCTTCATTATTTGCAAAGTGAAAATATTTCATTATCGGAGAAAATTTGTATTCTGACATGACCGTTCCAAAAAAAGGAGTGGCTAGTATTTGGTTGGTTGTCCAATACCACTTCTGCAGGGGTTTCCCCACCACTCCCTGAAGAATTATTAGGCCCAGAAACTTCCAGATGTCCTCTTTGGTCACTGGTTCCCACTTTCTGCTCCTTAAAAACCTCTGATGCATAGCAGCTTGTTGCTCCTGGTACCGATTTGTCTCCGTAACAATTTTTTCAATAACCTCATGGGTCAAAAAGAGTTTGAGGTATGCCAAGAGGTTGTCATCCTCAACATCCACTTTGATACCAGGTGCTCCAGTAAACGGGAATCTTGGGGGCGCTATGTGCTCCGTACCACAGTCAATCGAGCACCAAGTCCACACATCGCTGGGCACAGTCACAGGATCATCGCTGAAATCGCTTTCTGTGTCTGATGACGAACTTCCCCATGAATCGCTATCACTGAATTCTGCAAGCAATTCTGTATCGCTGTTGCTGTTTTCCAGCAGGTCATATACCGCTTTTGAGGTGGAGGCGCGCTTTTTTGATGCCATGGTTGTTCTGCAGTTTCCAGACACAAAGTACAGTAAAGCTGCAGGCAAGGGCACTGGAGAAAGCACTGGGAGGCAAACTAAGGTCAATTTATTTTATTTAATGTAATCCAATAGGATTACAATGTATCAGTGTGTTTGTGCATTATACTTTTTGAATTTGTTGCCGATTCCACCCCCCTGCGTCGTGACGCTCACAGGGAACGGAAGCCAGGGCACACAGAGCATTGGGCAGAAGATCTGGCTGATCCGGCTGCCGTACACTGCGGGAATACATTGCGGGATCCCGGGGACAAGGTAATTAATCTCTTCAAAGATCCAGCGAGATGCAGTCCCAAGTGTGGCTCAGGGTTACCGCTAATGGTACTGAAATTCCACCCCGATCCACACTCGGGAATGCCGCCAGGGAGGTTAAGGTCTCGTTCACACCATGGGTCAGAGACATTTTTCTGTACGTGTTCTGCAAGGGCTGTGCATAAATAAAATTTGTCTTTTTTTCCCACAAATAGAGCTTTTGTTTGGTGGTATTTGATCACCTGTGTGTTTTTTATTTTTTGCGCTATAAACAAAAAAAAGACCGACAATTTTGAAAAAAAAAACCCAATATTTTGAACTTTTTGCTTAAAACATGTCCAGTAAAAAATTTTTTAAAATCTATTTTTTCATAAATTTAGGCCAAATTTATTCTGCTACATGTCTTTGCTAAAAAAAAAAAATCCCAAAACGTGTAAATTATTTGGTTTATGTGAAAGGTATAGCATCTACAAATGGTGGTATATATACTGGAATTTTTTTTTTTCATACTACTAAGGGCGACGATCAGCGACTTATAGCGGGACTGCGGTGGGCATTCTGACACTGGGGGGAACTAACTGCCACTGACATTAATACAGTGAACAGTGCTAACACAAAGCGCTGACACTGTACTACTGACACTGGACAGGAAGGGGTTAACATCCAGGGTGATCAAAGGGTTAACTGTGTGCCGTTTTACATAATCCCATGTGTTTTACCTTGGAGACATGCTGGTTTGGAGGCTGTGCAGAGAAATACACAGCAGCATGTCCTTACTGGTAGGAGAGACCTATGTTGTTTGTGGGGAATCTCTGACTGGGACACAGTGATTGACATCTGTAGCAGCCAATGTCGGCACATGTAGGGCAGCACCCAGAAGTGCAAGGCACGCATATATATGGGTTTTTGCGCAGCCCTGTACCAGTACTTCTACTATAGGGCGGCGTGAAAGCCGTTAATGACTAGGTGAGCTCATGTGTACTTGAGGCCCTAAACTGGTTTGACAAAATGCAGCTTAGGTGAGTTTTATTGCAGATTTCCTCCTGTCAGGAGAAACGGCGTTTACAATAATTATTGTACACGATGCCGCAGTAGGTGAGCTGTCCTGTGGAGCGGTTCGTATCATCTGCACTCATTACTGATAACGTTCAGCCACTAAGCAGAACACACTAGCACAACCTGGCAGGAAAACGGTTCTGTCCAGGCCGTCAGTACACTCCCCTCACATCCTGAAGAAACACGATCTCTGTGGTAACAATTCAGCCAACCGGCGGCCACAACCTGATACGAGGCGTGTCCTACTCCCCCTCCCTCTGTGGTAAGCGGTGATGCGAAACTTGGAACATGCGCCCTCTTCCCTGACAATCCCGGACAAGGTGTAAAAGCGGGCCTTGGGCGCGTCAGGGCTCCGCCCACCAGCCTTTGCCCGCCTCTTGCCCCTCCTCCGCCCGGCTCCTTTCTGGATAAGCGTAGTGTGGAGTGTCACATCAGGCAGAGGGGGACAAAAGCCGCCGATATGTCGTCCTCTTCATCCTCCGAGCAGTACGAGGAAGGCGAGTATGAGAGCAAAGCCAAGAGACTGAAGAGCGGCCAGGAGGACGGGGAGATAGACTGTACATCGGAGGAACAAGAGGGGGAGCTGGCCACAGCACCTGGAGACTCGGCCAGCTATGGGGTAATGCTTTACATTAGAATGGAATGAGAGAAGGGCCCCCACTGTCCCCATAGACTGACACTGCTTACTGACTGGGGGGCCAGGGGACAGATGTATGGTGGCCATACATGGGACAGACTATTGGATCATGAGACCCCATGTATTGGTGGCCATACATGGGACAGACTATTGGATCATGAGACCCCATGTATTGGTGGCCGTACATATGGGACAGACTGTTGGCGCACGAGACCCCATGTATTGGTGGCCGTACATATGGGACAGACTGTTGGCGCACGAGACCCCATGTATTGGTGGCCGTACATATGGGACAGACTGTTGGAGCACGAGACCCCATGTATTGGTGACCGTACATATGGGACAGACTATTGGATCACGAGTCCCCATGTATTGGTGGCCATACATGGGACAGACTATTGGATCACGAGACCCCATGTATTGGTGGCCGTACATATGGGACAGACTGTTGGAGCACGAGACCCCATGTATTGGTGGCCGTACATATGGGACAGACTGTTGGAGCACGAGACCCCATGTATTGGTGGCCGTACATATGGGACAGACTGTTGGAGCACGAGACCCCATGTATTGGTGGCCGTACATATGGGACAGACTGTTGGAGCACGAGACCTCATGTATTGGTGGCCGTACATATGGGACAGACTGTTGGAGCACGAGACCCCATGTATTGGTGGCCGTACATATGGGACAGACTGTTGGAGCACGAGACCCCATGTATTGGTGGCCGTACATATGGGACAGACTGTTGGATCACGAGACCCCATGTATTGGTGGCCGTACATATGGGACAGACTGTTGGATCACGAAACCCCATGTATTGGTGGCCGTACATATTTGACAGACTGTTGGATCACGAAACCCCATGTATTGGTGGCCGTACATATTTGACAGACTGTTGGATCACAAAACCCCATGTATTGGTGGCCGTACATCTGGGACAGACTATTGGAGCATGAGACCCCATGTATTGATGGCCATACATATGGGACAGACTGTTGGATCACAAGACCCCATGTATTGGTGGCACAAATATGCAATGATCTGGTCCAATGATTCTTCACAGGATTGACTAATGTTATTGAATCTATTGGCAGCCATACACACTTCTGTAAGGGCCAATTCACACTACATGTGTTTCAGTGTGCTTTTTTTTTCTGCATCCAAAATGCACAGAAAGTAGGTTAAATGGTTGCCAATGTCATAGTTCACTTCAGTGCTCGCAGTTCCAGTTGCAGAAAAAGTAGAACAGGCTGCATTTTTCCTGCACAGAACTGTACTGGAACTCTGTAAAATGCAATGGAATGCCCCAAAAATGCAATGGAACGCACATGTCCCTATTTAAATTGAAGAAACAGAGAGGGGAAGAAATGAACCAGAAATGCATCGGAGTGTGTCAAAAACACCCTGGAACGTCCCACAGAAATGCATCTGCGCTACGTTTCTATAGTGTGAACTGACCCTTCGCGATTTCCATTCTGACTGATCTTTTTCAGTAATTGATCTATAGTCCGCATACCACGTGATAAGTATACCACACACTGGGAAATGGATCTTGATAAATCGCTGCAATACAGTTGGAACGTATGATCATAAATTGATCACATCTCAATTTCTACCATGTGATCTAATAATATAAATTATCAAAAACTGATTGAATTTGAGAACGAAGTATCTCATTGCTGCCAATCGATCAACTGATAATATTGCACCCTGGTGATCCACCTAGTGTGATCGAATCAATCGAAATAGAGTATGATGGATCAGGAGGGAAATGATGGCTATCTGGTTGTTTACAGATTTGATTGTTTTGAACGACTGGCCAATTGGTTAGATTTAAAAAAAAAAAAAAAGGGTGTTTGGCCACTATATGAATTGTTGAAAAGACACGTGAATTTGGCATGATACCTTAATAAGAGAATAATGCCAGGAATGCGGCCCAGCTACTTTATTGAACTCGCCCTTGTTTTTTGGCGTTATTCTCTCTTATTAATATAGTGTGCCAAATTCATGAAGCATCTACTTTTGGTTGTGATAGCGAGTTGTGCGGCTAATTCATGCAGTTCTAAAATGTTCCACTTTTGCATTTTGGCTCAATGAATGCGTCAAACTAACATACTGACAGTTCGTATCTTACAAAAGTGGAGTTAACGAAGACCAACTCTGTTTTGGTGTACAGAGGACGACTGGTGCAGGCAGATTGTGTAAAAGTGTCTTGCATGTAATATAAAAATGACACCACGTGCAGCACACCCAAATAAAAGTTCTTCAAAATATTAAAAAAAACTCAACGCCTGGACTTTTGAGGTTCCCCAAAGAGTAACACATAAGACAATAATTGTGAATTGTTATTTTAAATAATTGTAATATCATGACAGATACATAAATTTGGTGCATGCTGCATTACTTTCAGAATGCATGAGACACTTTCTCAGAATTGGTTTGCATCAGCCTTTATGGATTCCAGAGACTGTGAAATTGAAAACTGATCAATTCAATTGATTCAGATAAGTCTGGACGGAAAATGCAATCATAGGAAAGTACGTCATTTGGTATAATCATTTTAGTGTATGGCATATTGAGCAATTCTTTCGAGATAGATAGATATATATATTTTTTTCTTATATTAATGTAACGCAATTATATATAAAATCGTATGGCCACCATAAAATGATTGTGTGTCTGTGGAAGAGCAGATCTTTTCTTGAGGACATTGGTTGCTGAGAGGTCTGCCTGTCTTCAATCATATATATATCCCCAAAAAACAAAAATGCATTTTAGAGGTGAAAGGGGAAAAAAAAGCATGTGTTTTTGTTTCAGTACAGTCATATACTTGTGTGTACATAGGAGTCCATCCATGTAAATTGATACACTGGCAGCTAGAAGAGGATGAATGAGAACTTTAGAGGTCTTTCAAACGGGCGGGCGGGCTCTGCCAGCGGATCCACCTGCTCTGCGGGGAATCTGTCCATTGAACCCCACTGAGCAATCCCATAACGGGTCCGTGTCGGCTCCACTTATGCAGAGCGGACGTGGACACATCCCACTGTTCTCAATGGGTGGTCTGATGTAAATAGGCTGCCTGTCAGTTTTCATCCAACCTGTTATCTGATCCACTAGACTGGTTGGATTGGATCAGATGCAGGCGGGTGTAAATAGACACTTGTCCGTTTACATCTGTTGCTCCATAGAGAACAATAGATCAGTGGTTCTTAACCTTGTTGGAGGTACTGAACCCCACCAGTTTCATATGCGCATTCACCAAACCCTTCTTAATTGGAAAAATAAAAAAAATATGATTTTTAAAATTCAAAAAACATAGGTATATATTTAGGTATATATTTATACATAGGTGCACAAAATGAACAAAACCGTTAAGAACAAAGAACAAAACCATTAAAACATGATTTTCACACAAAAACATAATAATGAATATTTACTGCACGAATCATATGAGTCGGGTGTGGGTCTTCACCTCCGCCGAACCCGCGAGACTGACTCACCGAACCCCTGGGGTTCGATCGAACCCAGGTTAAGAACCACTGCAATAGATGGTCTGATTGGGTTTGCCTGAAAAAGGAACAGACAGACTCGATAGGTCTGCTCTTGTGAAAGTATATTTACTATTATATGTATATAACCAAGGGCTTTACAGAACATGATTTGTGTTTTTTGTTTTGTTTTTTTTTTTTTTTAAGTCAGAATCTTTCTGCCAGCAAGATCCTGCATCTAAACTTCAGTAAATGACCAGTTCACACCAGCAATCGCACAGGAACGCACTCACATTCCTGTGCAATTTGAGTGCAGTGCATTTTCAACACTTTCATTTAAATGGGCTGAAATCGCACTGCATGCACTACTTTTAAAAACGCACTGCAACCAGATTGCATGGTGCTTAGATACCAAGTGATCCATTGCAGGCAAACACAATTTTTTTGGGGTGTCAGTACTTTACACTGACACCTGCTGCAGATCGCAGACACAGCACATTTTGAATGCAGTGTTTCACATACGGCGTTCCAGTGTACACCAGCATCAAGTCTAGATCGCAGCTATGTGCAATCTGCAGTGGGTGTCAGTTCAATCTTAGGCTAGCTTTACACCTATGCAGGTTGCGTTTGAGCCGTTTTTTTACGCGTTTTGATGAGTTTTTGTGGCTTTTCTTCAATTCTTTTTCTTGTTGCTAGGCAGATTTAAAATGCAGCAAAAATGCAATACATGATTTTCTGCAGCGTTTCTCCATTGAAGTCTGAAGAAACAGACGCAACTTTTTGCATTAAAAAAAGTCCCTGACCCTTTCCAAAAAACACACTGTGTGAAAACGCACAGGTGTTAACATGTCCCATAGGAAATCATGTTAAATGGACTTTACTGCGTTTCTGCAAATAGCTGCAGAAAACGCTTAGGTGTGAACCTAGGGTTAATGACACGCCTAACGCAGGTCACACATGCAGTTTGTTTGCCTGCACTGGATCCCATGGTACAAAACAACCATGCAATCAGATTGCAGTGTGGCTTCAACATTAGTGCATGGCATGCACAACTTTTGGTTCAATGCTGTGCAATTTGAGCCCATCCAAAGTGAATGGGCTCAAATCGCACTGCACTGAATTGCCTGGGAATTGCACAGGAATGCAGTGCGTTTATTTATTTATTTTTTTTCTTTTGTGTGTCTGTGTGTGTGACTCAAAGGCTATTCATAGTGTGAATTTACATTAACAGCCCTTTTTCCTCTTATATGTCTATGGCCAGATCTGCCTTATTATGATTGAACTTTCTGTACAGAGGTAGTGTAAAAAGTGCAAATTTTCCAACTTGAATGACAGACATCTTACTGATGGCCACAGGTCTTGTACAGTTGTTTTAGGGATGCTTATTATCAGTATTGTCAATTTGTTCACCAATTTACCCCCAATACTGCATATTAAAACACATAGAAAATGGATGTGCATTTAACATGCTATTTACATCATCCTTTGTCC